CAGTAAGAACCCACCATTGTGTAAATTAAAATGAAAATTTCACAGAGCAAACTACTAAAATTTTTGGTCAGCGAAATACTTTCCTATAACTAAATACAATTATGTTTCAGATACTTTATGTTATGTACAAATGGCAAGTAAACTTGACTTCAGCTTGACAGCTCAAGTAGTCGCTTTCAGTTAAGGTTCAACAGGCTTGTCAGCTTCGTGCATAAACGTCACTGAAATGTTTTTCATGTAAACACACATATTTAGCGACTCTACTATATATATACCGTAGTTCTCATCGTTTTACATGAAGTACTTAAATGTAGAGAGCCGCTACGGATAAAATAAAAATAGGTTTATTTTAATCTGTATCTAGATAAAATAGAACATTTGATCAAACGAAGAAGTTAATATATTTTAAAACTTTTTGAACATGACATTCATAAATATAAAGTCTACGATTGCAGCATGAATTAAATGATATGTACTTATGCCCTATTGTCTTGCAGGCAACGAATTGTCGCATTTATTTGAGTTCTGCCTAATAAGTGCATTGAGTAGGACAATTACACCAAATTGCAGACGCAACTAGTTTCAGCTCCTACATGGAGCCATCATTACTCCAGACAAAAACTCAGCCAGATTAGTATTGTCTCTTATCTTAGCTAATCAGTTACCATAAATATGTTATGTTCGATTGTTTTTCGATTTCGAGTGTTTAATTTTATGTGTATTAAATGTGACAATCTTCGTGTGAAGAGATGACGTCCGCCTGATGATGGCTCTATGTAAGAGCTGAAACTAGTTGCATCTGCAGTTTAGTGGATTGCCAACTAGCAGTTATTTTAACATGTTAAATATTATTTAGCAGTCCGGAGGATATTATACTTTTATACTTATCGATGAAATGGCACTTTTATCTACAATGAAATAGCACAAAAGATGTCCCAAGTTTAGTGTCAACTATTAGCATCAACAATAACTAAGTTACAATTGACCGGATGTCAAACTGGGCTTAGTTCCCTTTATAACAGCAATTATATTAGAACTGTTAGTTATCTTAAGCTAAGTTCAAAAGACTTTTTAATTTTAAGTAATTTTTGAATAAACAATCACATAACAAATTGTTATTGCTAAACAAATCTCTGTCTTCATCTATGTTTTTATTTAAATTCTCTGTTGCTTGATGATGAACCATCGAAATCAATTGTCAGTATTAAATATTTTGCAGTCCCTGCCCTGATAATAATTTAAATTCTTATAAATTTGCAAAATAGAAGTAGTAGATACTATAAAACTCTTTATAAGATGTATTTTATAATTTTTGTAGGGTGATAAACCTTTTACATGGCTACAACTGAGCACCTGTACGGTAAAAGTTTAAATACGTGTCATATAAGCGGGCTTAGAGCTACGCAATACTATTTTCGAACTAACGCTATTGAGTTATGTAAAATTCAAAGCACTAATGTTGCCATAATTCATATAAAACAATAACGTGTTGTCTTACGAAGGTATCAATTAAATTCTATTTACGATGTTCATGTATTCTAAGGACATTGAAAAAGTAGGTCGAATGTTTCCGTAAACCGAAAAAAAACTCTCGTTCAAATATTATACGACATATTGAAATGTATTTTGAAAGTGTAAATGCCATCCTTGTTTAAGGTACCGTAGTTAAAATAACTAGTAGGATTTTGGTATAGTCAATGTGCATTAAACTCTAAGCCCTCAATACCTCAGGCTGGGCCTAGAGGTTGCTGCATGATAATGGTGTCTTAACTTTGGTCAACTTGTCACATTTGATAATTTTAGAAAAACTAGTTAAATTGCAGAATTCTAATCACGTCCTTTTAGGCTAGAGGAACTTTCTCCTATTAAGTTTTCTTGCTTTAAAAAACGATCTGATATCGTATATTTTAAACTGTTAAGCTCGACCTCATCTTAGTCCATTTTTTATAAGTCATCATGACTTTTCGGGATCCGGAATCTAAACACGAACTTTGGTGAGAAATATCGCTACGGTGCCTCGAATAAACTTCGATCTTTTCTAATCGTGGTTGGAAATATCCATGAAAAGTATTTAAACAAAAACTGTATTCAGTATAATAACTACTTATTACGAGTACATCCTAAGATCAGCATCATTACCGTTAATATTTACGGGTTTGATTATATATAGATAAAGAATTAAACAAGAAAGGAAATTATGAACTATCATTTACTAAATAGATAAATAAAAGAGCTCTCGGGTTTGAGGGGTTTAACGTCAAATTGTCTTTACAGAGCTCACTACGAAAATGTTGGGAACAATGGACTACTGTACTATTTAAATTCGGGGAGAAAAATTAATTAAAAACATTGTTTTAAAGTATAATTATTACTGATATATCCTACAGCAGTTTGCAATACATATTTCTGACTGTCTTTACGAGTTCTATATACTGTATACTACCCGTACTATATATATTACACGGAGAGCTAATGCGCTACAAATAAACTGTAACTTCACCTTGCGTGGAATGAAGGGTATATTTATTCATGTTTCATTTAAGAAAAGTAATCGTAATAACGGCTTGTACTGAACGTGTTTTACGCAGTTGAAGTGTTTTTTTTTCAATCCTATTACCAATCAGATCAGCTAGTGTCAAGGTCACCCACCTCATGTTAAACTGCCTTCTGCAAGTTTGAGTCGTACGTTTATGACGATTGAACAAAACCAATAAAACACGATTATTCTGCTATGTTGTAACCAATACACCGTATACTTAACTTTCGAATGTATTTTATTGTTTCATTAATAACGAAAAATTCAAAGTAATTTCAAAAAGGTAACAAACTGCAGGTGTGTGTTTCAAACCAAATCGGGTAAAAGTCATATATTATATTTTGTCCTAGCAACGGATGATGTTCTGGTTGTTATTCTATATACTGTTTTATTTGTAATTTGCTGTAGTTAAATAAACTGGTAATTCCAAAATATAAAATACAGGTTTAATTGTTTATATAACATTCTGTGTTAGTTTAAAGTGGATTATAAAGTGAATGTCGAAGCCAATAGTAATGGACACTTTTGAGTGGAAATAAATAAAGCACTAAGAACATGCCAGTGTTTACTAACAAACATGGTTTTGTGTAATGTGAAAAATTGTGTATTTTCTGCACTATACTACTATTTTACTGTTTAAAAACACTGCAACTCGTGTCAAAAAGATATTTATCTTCTTATTACGAAATATACAGTTATAATAGTAAACCCTAGACCTATTCTAAAGTCAACTCAAATCCGCAAGGATACTACTGTACAAACATGCTACGTATTCAAACTATCTACTATATTAAATTCCATTTTGTAGCCCCTGAACTGCGTAGTATAGACTAAACTATTACATACCTCGTCTTGCAGTTCCAATATAGTGTTTGAGAATGCCATATATGGCGAAACATATGTAGTGGACTTCAAACACTACATTAGAGCTGCAAGACGAGGTATGTAATAGTTTAGTCTATCTACTATAGTTTTAATGTTATGGTTTAGTTAATTTATTTCTTCACTCTTGTTTTCAATTTATTTAAATCCAGAACTAAATACAGCAAAGCAGCCAAGCACAGTTGCCCTCTATATCGGTGACCTTTGCACTACGGTTGCTATGGCAACCACAGTCAATAATATACACTCTGTAGAAGCTTAGTCTTAATCCCTCGGATTTGCTTGAATAAGAATTGCCTGATTGAATACTAAGTTTTGAATAAAGAAGAATGCGTTTTACCTTGGTTGATTATTTTTGTTGATAGATCAATCCTTACGAATATATAATTTTTTTATATTTATTTTTTTATATTTCACATATCTTTAAGCTAAGGTCATAAGGTCTAATATTAACCATGGAATAAGGCAGAATACAATCCACTCTACCTTTTACTAAAATTAATAAATTATTGTGAACTTACATTTTATATTTGGAATAGATGTATCATTTTATAATTTTGCATGCATTTTCTTAACATAAATTGAACGATCAAATTTATAAAATTCATAAACCTGCTATGATATCAACAGTAGCCTATTCAATGAGTGAAACAATTATGGAACAAATTAAACAATTTAAATATGTACACATAGCTTTTTCCCATACAAGATTGGTAAAAACTTTACCTTTAAATCTTCTAATTGTCTTTTAGTGAAACTCCATTATGACTAGCCTATGTATGTTTAATACAAAGAGAAACGTTTTCTAAACAGTTTGTTTACGAACATTGGACTCAATCTAATGCTTACGATGATTGTTACATAAAACGAATCATGTCGTAGTTTGAACGAACGCTATGTACGACTCGTATTTAGTTTGGAAATAACTAAATTTATTTTAAAATGTATTCAACATTTGTTAAAGTATTGTGCACAAGTCTGGAAGCAATACAATTTCGTTTAAGTAAAGTTTTTTATTATCTTCGTAGTTGTTTACCACTATACTGTTACTTTTATAGAGACATTTTATAATAAATTTTATATATTTATGCGTTCCTGGAGCATATCAACTCTAAAAACAGTTGTCATAAAGACACTTTAAGTAGGCCTATGGTTTTAAATCCATCCAGAATCATCAATCTTATTCTTGGATGTTACATATAGTTACATAACTATGTATAGTTACATAGTTACACCTTGTTATGGATTGAATCTTATGGAAACAAATCTTTATATACACGATTGAGAAGGATTAGCTAACATAATAGCTTCCTAGTTCAGAACAACAAACAAAAACACAGGTAACCATTAAGAACCAAAGTTAACCATAACGTTAAAGATCTGAGTTTGCGAACTAGTAAGTAAGTAGCACATTAGATGGGCATACAACTAAAACATATATAGTTTCATGAAGGTTTTGAAGGAGGTTAGACTAACGTTAACATGTTTTGAATTCACCACGAAATATCGTTGGCACCAAAACGAGTTGATTAATCGAATATGAAATTTATTGGCCTATTTGTAAGTACTGTAACTCCAAGAACATCTGCGCCAACAAATTATCTACGTCATCAGGCGAGCAGTTGGAGTTGGTAGCTTCGCAGCACGAACATAAACCTTCACCCTACTCGATTGAGACCGTAAGTAGCAACTTTTTCAATTTGTGGAAGTTCTAGAGCGTATGATGGAAGCTGTAAATGAAGAAAACTTTCGCACAATATTTCTACCACACAATCCAATAAGCTTGTTTATAATCTGAGCCAACTGACGTACCTAAAAGTGTTGATTTATATAAACAGTAGAGAGGTGTTGAAATTCCTTATAACTATTTTTAAGGGTATAAAGACAAATTAATATTGTGATTTTGGTATGAAATTTGGCTTAAATAATATGTTAAAACATTTATTCACTTGAGTTTTCAATAACAATAATCGTGTTTTATGTTTGTAGGCCAGGGTAGTATTTTTAAATTAGCTCAATCGTCATACTGTGAATATGAAAACTTAAAAACTCATAATGTATCTTTTTATGAGTAAGATTTTGTTCTATATAATTGAGCTAAGTTGGTCACGTAGGTGAAAAGTTTGTAAATGGTTCTTGGTTTGTAAAGTCCTTTTTTTGTCGCAATGTTTGTACAAAAAAACTTTCAAAAAGAAAAAGTTTTAATATACATTTCAATAATATGTGTACCTATCAGAAAGTGTAGAATATAATTTTATAATTGCATATTAATAAATAACACTCTAGAGGTAATAATTCTTGCACAAGGCTATTATGGAATTTATTTACAATAAAATAAATGGAATGTAAAATGTTTTTCCAGGGAAGACGTAGGATGCTGAAATATTTGTTCATATTTTCGGCTTTTCCGTTGATTGTCCTGGCTTCTAGTATGCCAGTGGGGAAGTGCAAATACCCTCTGCCCAGCAACCCTGGCCTCGACATCTCACAGGTCAGATGGAGTTACTTTATTGTTCTAGTACTCTCATTAACTATTGTACACGTTTTAGGTCTTTTCAAAAAGAGAGCAGTCACAATTGAGATGTTCTTTAAGCAAATAAAATTTTGATTGTCAGCAAACCTAACCTTATCTGTGCCACTTCGTACCCATCATGTACCATAATCTTTGGTGTTGTGTCTGAACACTGAGTCCCCTCCTCAATCCAACGTAACTGAACCGTACCTAACCTAACCTAACAGAACATATCCCAACCTGCCCTAACATGTTGCGCCTTGATTTGCACAGGGCAAATTTTAATATTGGCAGCCCTCTTGCTAAAACGAACCGCCACTTTTAACACTGCAAAGACCTACCGAAGATTGATCATTCATCAAGATTTGCGTAACAATCACTTGTCTTGTACGTTGCAGTAATACATGCTGAACCCAGCAATAATCTAGAAAAAGATATATAAATACGGGATTGTTTATTCTGTGAAACCTTTTGCAGATCGAAGGAGAGACGTTGAAGTACATCTACACTCCAACCTCAATGGTTTACAAAGCGCTTGACAGTATTTCTATGGTAATCAGGAAGTCGAAAAAACAAAAGAAGGTTTATGCTGAAACCATCAGAGCCAAGTCGTAAGTATAGTTTCGAATACGTTTTGGCTGTCATATAATACCCCTAGACTAACTTGCTCTTTGAGTAGCCATTATAGAGGATAAGTTACAACATGCTATATTAAGATGAGGAACCAATTCATTTTTATTTTACCCAAGGATGTATCTTCAGTTTGATTTAACTCCAAAACATTGAGTTACGCCATTATAAACTGGCAATTAGTAAAATTGTAATAAAGACTTAATGCCACTTAAGTCTTCCGCTCAAACAACAGCCACGTTCCTACTAAACTTTAAATCAATCGTAGCCTAAAGGACAGCAAACTTGCATTCTCAGCACTACAATAGCTGGGTCGTTTTAATAATTCTAGATATACAGGGTGTTTTTTTTTAATTTTTTTTTATGCAGTTTACGGGAATCATCTGGGGCCCAATTGTTTTGAATTCAACGTTACATTCACATTCCCCCCTGTCCCCAACTTAATTTTTTTCTAAATAGCAAGGTACAAATCAAATCCCTTGTGACAAATCAAATGGAAGAGCATGAAAAAAAATGTTTGGTGAAAAAAATTGAAAATCGGCTCATGAATTTGTGAGATATTCCTCCCCTTTTCCCCCTACCCATTACTTTTTTTAAATAGCAAGGTGTGCGGAACGAGGTGAAGCCTGAGATTTTCGGTGGGAACGTTCTAAAGCGGGGAAATCCATGGTGGGGGTAGGAGACGAGCCGATCGTCGCCTCGCATAGCGAAACTTCCCCCGCCACACCACTATTCCCCTCCAAGCTTCACCTCGTTCCGTACGACCTCTACCCCTTGTGACATTTTAAATGAAAGAGCATAAAAAAAGAAAATGTTTGAGGAAATTCATTTTTCATTTAATATGTCACAAGGTGTACCTTGCTAAAAAAAAAAATAAGTTCCGTGGAGGGGGGGAATATCTCGCAAATTTATGAGCCAATTTTAAAATTTTTTTTCACTAAACATTTTATAATTTCGTGCTCTTTTATTTGATATTTCACAAGGGGTACCTTGATATTAAAAAACAAAATATGTTGAGGGCAGGGAGGGGAAAGAAGGGGAATGTGAATGTAACGTTGAATTCAAAACAATTGGGCCCCCTACGTCAATAGATGATTCCCGCAAACTGCATATTTCTATCTATTACAATTTTTACATAAATAAAGATGCAAGTAAAAAAAAAAAAAAAAAAAAAAAAAAAAAAAACACTCTGTATTAACACTAAATATACTTTGCACATAGGACGCAAAGTGTCTTATAGAAGACAAAATGATGGGTACAGCTGATTTCCAGTTGCATGAATCACCTACTGCCTAAGGATAGGTGACTATGGACTGTATAGGTAACAGGTAGGTGCAATTGGCAAGTAGTTGCAGGCAGCAACTTGTTCTCTCTTCTTCCAATGGACCAACCAGACGTACAGGACAGAAAACTTCCATCCTTTCCACATGCTCTGACGGGAAATAACTCTTACACTCTGATCAGCTCCGGACGTAACATAACATTTATACCCCTAGAAAATTAATCATCGGCTTTGACAACTAAACTAGCCGGACCAGAGAATTGGGAGCTCACGATTTGACCCTTATAGCGTTGACAAAATTTAGGTGGTTTAAGGGGGAGGTTTTCTGGGTTCCCCTACCATTTTTAAATCTATATACCAGCTGATCATCTGTTGGCTGTGGTTTCAAACAGTGTTTGCGTCCTCCCTTCTCTTCATTCCTGTTATCGTAGTTGTCACGAAAAGCACAACAGATCAACAACAAATCCAATTCGCTACTTTACAATTATCTTTCAATATATTAATGAAAAATAATAATTAAATTAAATCTTATACTGGCTTTCGTATTTCATAAAAAATATCTTTTCGATTTATTTACCAACAAAATTCGCCTTTTTGCTAAACCAAAATATATTTTACACCGATGCAGTACAGTACTTTGCTGGCTGAATATTATACGGGCCGTACTAGTTTAAAAACATACCTTTACATTCTACGTTAATAATTGATCTATTTAGATCTATAAAAATTATTAATTATTACTTTATAGCTTAATTATATAGTCAATCTAAATTTCTTGATTTTAAATATTATTTTTTATCATTCCAGAGTCTTTGGTACACCTACGACTATGAACTTTCTAGTGAAAGACCTTGGAAATGGAGTGCTCAAGAAGATCGTCAAAAGTAAATTAACTGATTATGTATGCTAAAAACCAAATAGTTTTTCAAATGAAAGATGCTAAATGTGTTATTTATATGTTTTAAATTATTTATAAAGGTTAAATTTTATTTGTCGATGGACTTCATAAATAATGAATAATATTTAATTCACTACTGCTTAGATTTAATTCAGAAGTCACTAATTAATTTCAGTTACATACTGTCAGTTACGTAACTGATAGTAGGGGTAGATGAGTTTCAATAATACATAGGGACTTCAAAAATTAATTTAAAAAACGGCAAATATTTTATTTGTTATTTATTTGGGGCAGTAGGTAAGTAGTTGGGGGAAACCCATTCAAAGGACTATACTATTATGACTATTTAAAGTAGGTACTGTATTATTTGGTATGATGATAGGAGTGCCCAACCGAAAGAGTTCTCTTTTTAATGTCTACATGAAATTGTATGAACTGTCCTGTTCTGAAATAGTATTAGAGTGAATCTATACTAAATAATGTTGCTATTGTTCCTATTTATAGGTTCATTAACAGTATGTTAATCTTGCAGAAGGGGAGATGAGCTACATAGCGTCAATAGTTGCTATCAAGGGGGACACCGGGCTATTGTACGTCTGCAGTGACACTGGCGGTAAATATTTAGTGTATAAGTGTTAAACAACTAAAAAGTATATAACTTTATAAATGTGTATTGTAACTATTTAGTTTTAATGGTTATTGATAGTTAGTTAACCTGCTTAAATTATGACTTTTGATTTGCAGGAATATAATCGTGTCCATTAAAATCAAACATTGCTATCCCTATTACGCCCACTAAAATTATTTTATGTTTTGTGCCTTACAATGCCAAGTAAACTAACAAAGTGTCTTTGGAGAGATAGGAAGTTTGTATTCGTATGTCTTTTAATTAAAGAAAAACGTTAAAAGTTTTATAAAATAAAAAGCTAAAATACCATATTTATGTAGTACGTAAAATAATTATTAGCTGAATCAGATTCTGAATGAAAGTGAAATGAAATTAATGTACTATGCTTCAATCACTTTTATCTTTCGGAATCATAAGCTGGGGGGGTTGTTCTAAAAGTATTTTTTGAGCCATTAAACATAACACAAAAGTTAATATTAAAAATGTGTTTTGGGAAGTGCAGGCGTTACCCATCTGACACTCTCTTTAGGAATGTGTCAGTTTTAACGATCAGACAACTTTTCATAAAAAATGTTTTTAAGTCATATTTTTAAAAATTATAGCAACATTTTCTCTACAATTTCCCATACACATAATACTAGATATTCTACCCGAATTGGAATTACATCACTACAACTGTACAAATCCTTTTCATCGACCAACTCATTTTATATTGCACACTTTATATTTCGTAACTCACAAAACTATTTTCAAAGTGTTAATCTCTTTGACTCCCCCACTTTAAACATATTCAAACGCCGTGTCAATGAGTGGTTACTTGGTCTAGGCAGGGACGAGGCTGAGCTTATCATCACAACTGATTACGGACACAGACGCTCCTGACACGACATGCGACCTGACCATTGTACCCTGACTCGTTCTCCACCACCCGCCCCACCCCTCTAGACACATTTTGAAAGCCGTAGAATTCCTGACACTATTACAGTTAAATTATTTTTTATTTAAACTTAATTATGCCAACTAATATTTTTCACATAGTTATTCGTCTCACAATTTGTTCTTGTACGTAACTCCATTTACATCATATTTTCAGCTCATCATATCTTCTGTCATTTATTTATTTATTGTATTTGATCTCGCCTTATTAAGCCTATGTTTGGACGCAACTACAGTCGACGCACAGGCTCGCCGCCCATGTCGGCTTATTCCTTATAAACATGTACGCTTTCTTAAACATAGATGCAATGCAAAGGTTACTTTTATATTATTCTTTAAAATTCACTTATGTTTTTTCCTTTAAATATTTATGTAGGCCTACATATTCTGTAAATACTTTGTTGAAATAAAGATATAATTCATTCATTCATTCATTAAATATAGCCGTTTTATGAACGGGATCCCTAACCTAATAGATATTATCAACCATAGTATTATCAAACTATCGTATAGTTTGTTATTCGTACCTAATCGCCCAGTCGAAGTATTGCTCTGCTGTTTCAACTTACGTCAAAGCCTAATTATTAGCACATGTGTTCTGTGCTCTCACCTAGCCTACAGTTCATAACTGGAACAACAACTACAAATCACAAAACTTTATGTTCACTTTCAAACATTGATAACCGTACTCTTGATGGTAAAATCATCTAATCCCTTGTTTAAAATTGTATTAATATATTCTAGGGGTCCCTTGATGTACAATGCGATGCAATAATGTTTTAAATGTATCACAGATGTTTTTAACAGCTTCAGTAAAGTTCTATTATACATTTTGGAGTTTTCGTGTAAATGCACAAATAAAAAAAATCGTGTAAATGTGTAAATGAATGTTTTTATTGGTGATTTATTGATCAGCTTTCACTTTTGGGTTGTCACAACATTTTGAAATAGTTGATTGAAAACACATGAAAGCATTTTATTTCCATGTCAAAATAAGAAGATATTAAACATAATAATTGTTAAGTTTTTTATTAGTTTCATTATTTCAATCATATTTCAGATATTCCAAACAAGTCAATCAACATTCATTAACAGTTCATTAAAAAATTAATTAAAAATTCATTAAGTTTATGTTCACAGTTTATTATTATTAAAGTTTAAATTACATTTCATTTCAATACTAAAAATTAATCATATTATATGTTATTTAATCAAATTCTATTACATCACACTGTGTCCTAAAGAATGGTTCATTATTAGGATTGACAACACTGTTACTAGAAGCAGTTTAACTAACTCGAAAACAAATATTCAACAATAAAATCATTTAAAAACATCTGTGACATGTGTATGTGATGAAGATTAGAAGGAAGCCAGAATGAACTGAAAGAAGATGCATGTTAGTAAATTATTTGATCAAAAAAGAAAGTGTTATTATGAACATTACAATTAAATTCAAGAAAATTACTAAGTATATATAACATTTGTATTAATCAAGATTCAAGAAGAACCAACTGTAAGTGATACTTCTTTTATGTAAACAAAACAAATACAGTCCATTTATTCAAAAATAAAAACTCTTTTTACTCATATATTTTATCCATTAAACTAATTAATTTCATGACAATAATAACTGTACTTGGGATCGGATTTGGACTTTTTATATTTGGAAATATAAATATGGGTTGTGAAAATCAGGTTTTCCTGGTTGACGGAAAATAGCTGTTGTACCTGAGTTGTAGGTAATATGTATAATCGATATTAGTCTAAATCGCGCTTGGCTGGTAAGCGCGAACGGTCCGCCGCCGCCACGCCGCTCCCCCCACCATATGTGGGGAACTTCCTAGTATTGAAGTAGCATTGTAAATGCATACACATCACACTTTTTAACGTCTGCTTTGTTGGTGACATGTTTAAAATTAGTTGATTGTTTTATGTGACTCATAACCTGTGTGGTTCTTTTGCAAGTGACCGGCGAGGACACCCTGTATGTGATCGCTCGCAAAAGTGTCGACCCTCACACTGTGAAACCCCCAACGAAGCTCTTCTCAGCCGCCATTGAAAAGTTCAACTTTAATGCAGAATTCAGAAAACTGCCAGAACGTTTGTCCATCAAAACTCTTTAAGCCATTAAATTTGTGCGTGACACGAGTATTTTCTATTCAGTATCCTTTCAAATTCACAGGGTGAGTAATTATTTTAACTTGTGCTTGAATTATTATTTTCTTTTTTAATATAACAATATTTTTTTGTTCTAGATAGTATCTTCAAATTAATGCGTTAAGCCCCTATGCAATTTTTAAAGAATGTCTACTACTTACTTGTATTTGGATATCAAATAAACCGTTTGATATTGTAAAATTTTAACTATTTTATAATTGTAAGACTGAGTTACAACGCAACCAATCAGTGCTGTTTACTGTTTCACCCACGACCGTTTTGAAACAAGCCATTTCAGTCTAGATCTTAGAATGGAAAATATTCACTTAACAGCATTGTTTACTTTCTTAACAGCATTATGTTTTTGCAACAAGGATAACGAACCAATGAGGTTCAATGGTTGAGAGAAAATAAGTAAAATTGACATGCTTCGATCTTAAAATAATTAGCTGTTCATGCCAATTTAATTGTTAGGCCTATTGAGTGGTGCAATTAGTGTTTGGTACAATGATTCGTTGCATCACTGTGATTAGCAATGAGAGGTACTTACTTTCCGTGTCCGGAAATCAGACTTCACTATTCAAAAAAATAGCTCCGATATGGCTTTGTCATTCGCAAGTAAAAAATCATCTAATGTGAAAGACTGTCTAGGCGTGGGCAGATCAGCAGATGGCCAGGATCCTGAACAGCACCGCACACGCGCACAAGATGTTTTCTTCGTCTGGTAAGAGACCCCATTTCTGCATGTTTGTCTTGCATTTTAGTACCTCGACCCTAATTCGATTTAGGGTCTTCCACACCGTGTAATGAAGGCCTACCCGAGGAGCCAGTTCCTCCCTGGCTGGTATGGGAGGTTTAGTCAACGTGGCCTCCCACCTTGCCACCCGATTGCTTGAGAGTGATCCATCCAGGACCCGTGTCCGTGATAAAAAGCTCTTTCTGAACCGAAGCCGTCGCTCTGCAGGTTGGTGGCCGTGTAATGGGTGACGAGGGTCTGTCTCTTGCTTAGTATCCTTTCTGCGTCGGCAACGACATCACGTCGGATTGATGGAGGGGCGATTTCTATGATAGGATAGAGTTTGTGTACTGTGGTTGGTTTCAAACACCTAGTTACAATCCGAGCCATGTCACACCGAGCGCTAAAGTTGAGGTTCAGAGGACATTAGGTTTAGCACCCCAGCTTTTAGTCATAGTCATAGTCAGCTTCTGTTCCACCTCTTCGTACCTTGTGCCGCCACCGCCATATCATCGGCATATATATATACTGACGTGTAGCGTTTGGCAACGGTTGGTCGTTAGTGTAAATGTGTATAACCACCAATGAGAGGTCATAAACGAAAACATAACTGTTGTGGATTGTTTTAAAATTAAGTTGCGATAACGAGTGTAATTAAAAATAATAGACTGTATTATGATGTTGAATGAATTAAACAGTAAAATGAATTATCTGAATTTTGAAAGAAAATTATTAGACAAGTCTTAGTATTTAGATAAAACTTAAGCAAACATGGAAGTATCACTTACAATCGATCCTTTCTTCACTGTACAAAGCGTGGTCGGTGGCCTGGAGTGTGGAGTGTAGAGTTCTCAGGGGTCCAGCGAATATCATCCTGCCGTAGTGGATAATAACGTCATCCACGGACACAAATGGATTCCCGGATGCGCGACACGGTAGTACCGATAACGGTGTAGAGAAAGATCAAGGCACAAACTGGTGCATGATGACTTGCGGAATGCAAGTTGAAAAGGAGACTAGATAAGAGGAACGAGGAGTAGGTAATGCTACTTCACTGGCAGGATTGCCAACTTGGAAGAAAGGAATAACTAGCAATGAGTCTGTGGCTTATGAATGTAAACCAAAATGGGACGTACTTAAATTAAACTTATCTCAGTTTGTCCCTTTAATTTCTGATTATGTATATATGAACAAAAACAATAAACCCTCTTAGAAGTTATGATTAGTGATTATTATTAAATAAAACAAAGTCTTAGGTAAGTAGTGTACCCTACGCATTGCTGCATAACTCGTAGAAGTTTTTAAGGCACTCGCCAAGAATCGTACCTTAAATTTCTACAAGTCTCGTTAACACTATATTTTTGCGGTCGTTGCGTAAACTACTATAACGTATTCGGCATATGTTCAGTTGAACACTACATTTTAGATAACGTGTTACATACGTCAAGGTCGACTGGATTAGCTTCGCAACAAAACACAGCTTCGTTGTATAGCTACGTCAAACTTGTATAGCCACACACCGGATGCCGCAGTAATGCCAAAAAAAAATTTAAAAGATAACTTTGGGTAATTATAATTATAATACATGTTATAATAATATAATAATAATACAAGATGGTGGCGACGTCCTGTAACTGAACTACTATGAGGTCATGAATTATGGATATTTAAAGGCATGCACTGTGGATGAGATACTCCCTGGTGTGGATTAACGTCCGCCCTAGTAAGTACTACAACTATCCGCAGTACTACCCCGATAATAAGACCAAATTGTTAATACCAAGATTAAAATGTGGTTCGGATTCCACTATAAACTGTAAGTCCCTTATTTTCAATTAGCTGTATGAATTAATTATGTATATTAATTGTGTATATTAATTGACAGCTGTGTCCAAGGAATATGTCGGAGGACCGCTAAACTTGATAATTTGGAATTTCGAGATTGATGGCCGAATGAGTATATTAATGATGTGTATACCTCTAACGTATTTAACTCAATTTAAATTAAATAGTTAGTTAGACATAGGTGCCTGGGGACCGAGCTTTGCTAGAGAAAATCATAAGTGTATCTGAGATCAGTCTTGGGTCAATGTAATTTATACAAATCTTTTGAAGTCTATCTTTTATCTGTTCAAATTGTCAATTGTAGTTGACACTTGGTAAGCACAGTAATAATTATTTGACAGACCATAAGACCATTTTATAACTTATTTTGAACACAAAGTTAAATCCTTGTTTAGAAAGAGTACTATGGTGGTTAAGATATGAAGTATGAAGTATTTATAGCAAGGGGTGTTTCGTAAGAGTTGCAATAACTTGAATAACATAATAGACACTTATACTAATGCTTTAATAATCAATTTAGTTATTCAGTAAGTATAAACATGTTTCTTGGTGCCGATCCATGGTGGTAACAAATATTCAAATGTTACTCATATTAAAATGTAAGATTAAAAACACTAACTAATCTCAAAATAAGTTTTTCGTCTAAAAGGTTACTGAAACTTAACCCTTAAATATTTGATGCATCCTCCATCTTCTTACCACTACGCTATTCTTGTGCCAGGACAGCTTAAAGTGACCTTGTCACTCAGTGCCATCCTTATTTGTATTACTATTTGTATCCTTATTTGTATTAGAAAAAACAACCTATAAAATACAACCACTTTATAAATTTAAATCAATTCGTAGTTTTTAATTATTCTCAAAAGTCAACAGTCAATGCAAGCTAAATAATTTAAGGTTTTAAATAACCTTCTGTCAATATATTGACGAAGTTTAATCAATTTCTGAATAAAAAAAATGTATAAAAGTAGTAAACATTGTGTTTAGAGTACAAAGTAATAATATAATCAAACGTAAGTCGACACAAGAGCAATGGGGCGACATATGGTGTAAAACTGTAGAGTTATTCTCTGAATTGGAACCATTCGTCATGACTTGGTATTAACTCGCTCTGTGTCAAAATACTTCGGAAAGTATCTTGTACAAACTGTTACTAAAGCTGTCCAAAAAATAGAGTTGTGTGCAATTTATATTCCTACGTGGAGTAAATGAAATGGCAGCAATTTTATTAAGCTGTAATTGAAAATTAACTTGATGGTATTAGCAGTAAAGAACGACGTATTTATTTCATGAGTGTAGACTATGATACATCAAAACGTTCGTAGTGAAATAATAGATATTACGACCACGCACCTACCTTCAAAATAAATTTTTATGCTAAACAACAGCAATATGTGTTTGAGTAATAACAGATGTGTTTGAGATTTTTAAGACCAATAACATGGTAAAGCCCCATACCAAGTTGTGACTTATTTAGAATAAATTCCTAACAACAATAAACCTCATAGATGACTATGCAGCAACGCAAATCAGCTGATCGGCAACGAAGTAAAGAAAAGAAGGATTCCAAAATAAGGTTGTTTTGTCATTAAAATGTGTTTCACAGTACTTTTAATTTATGCTGAACGTTAAAAAAACACCCTGTAGAATCTTTCTAAATTATAATTATTTCCATTTGTATGTGAACATATATCGTTCATATACAACCTAAGTTTTGTCTCTAAGAAATTGATTCGTTACATTCGCTATGTTTGATGGACCAACGTCTTGTTAAAGTTTGTTGTTGTTTTATTTCCCAATAAAGATAACAACGGACGTAAAAGTAACAAATAACAAGGCAAGTTCTGAAATATTGAGAGGAAACTGAGAAAAATAGTAATGATTTAATGGAATCAAAGTCTAGGTGAATTATTATTTTGCAAATGAATACCTATAATGAAACTAAATATTGCGAAAATATTCTGAGCTTGTCATTTGTATAATAATATAACTTCTAGACTTGAGAAATAATATTTTTTTTTTCTAACCTTTTATTGAGAGACTATATCTTTTATATTAAAGAAAGTGTTTAAATGACAAAATGTTAACATTTGTAAAAGAGTAATTATTATTGGTTGTTTAAGACTAATGGCGGTATATAATTTCATTGCCCAATTATTAGAATTTGTTTTTAAATCCATCTAGCAATTGCAACGAAAGCTATATAAATTAAACACATAAAATGCTTTATACATGATTCACCTTTTTATAACATGATGCAACACAATTGCAGATTTTTTTAGTATGTCGATAAAATGTTTGAGCTAATGGAAAGTATAAAATTTAACAACACTAAAACAATAGATTTTGTGAGTTTATACGATTTCATCAAGCTTACATCATACAATATTCAATATGAGATATTAGAGGC